CGAGGGTTTACGATGAGCTAGTTAATTACGAGTTGGTGTAAGTACGATTCGCCGGGAAGCTAGCTAACTTTGTCCTTAGCCACACACGCTAGGTTTTCCACCGTTGAAGTTAGGTAATATTTTCGTAAAAATACTAATGTCCGATGAAAATCCACTGAAGCTAAATAATTTGTAATGTTCGAACTTTGTAAAGGTTCCTGGTCAAATATCTGAAGTTTTCCGATTGATAATCGTTATAAAAATCACAGTTATAGCTTTCTAAGTTTATAGCACACTGATTATATCGAACTACTAATAGCCACTGTTCTTTTGGCGCGTCACGTTGGTTGTATTTATAGGCGTGGGAAGATTTTCTAGAAAATTCAGATTACATAACAATAATGAGGTATATTTAAACGTTTACGTAAAAATATATATATTGTTGATTCTTACTCTCGAGAATCTTCTACAACCTTGGAGAGTAGGCGGGAGTTTCGCAATACATATTTAACAGTCTAAGCTATATATGTTTCTAAATATAAATTTAGTCTAAACAAACGTTGATATTAAAATAAATACATAACAAATTCGTTACAATATTCATGGAACCTAACTCACTTAACATAGTTTACCTGTTATGTATTACAATTTCTAATGGTCTGAAACCGAGCTAAATAATAATTTAAATTCAGTAGTTAAATAAATGCCGATATGTATACAATTTATGATATTTGCCAAAAAGATTGATACACACAGTTTTCTTTTCTTTTTTAATACAAATATGTTTTAATATACAAACAATAATACAATTTACAATAACAGTTATTACAAATAGTTATTGCAAACAAGGATTTATATATAAAAATTTTACTTTCTAGTCTGGAACTTCCTTGATGTTTTATCGAAGGTTCATGATGAGCGAGTTAATTTCGAGTAGACGTAGGTATAATTCACTTAATAGGGAGCTAGCTAGCTTTGTAGTTCTCGCTGATCACAGGTCGAGTTTCTATTACCACTGAAGTTATATAATATCTTCGTAAAAGTACTCATGTCCGATGTGAATCCACTGAAGTTAAATTATTTGTAATGTTCGAAATGTAATTTGTAATGGTCAAATATCTTAAATTTAGCGATTAATAAGCGTTATTCACAATTATAGCTTTTGAGGTTTATAGTATACCAACTATAGCAAATCAATAATAGATACTGTTTCTTGGCGCGTCGCGTTGGTTATATTTATAGGCGTGTGGAGAGTTTTTCTAAATTTCCGTTGTACGTAACAATACTGAAGCTGACACTAGCGTTTACATACACACTTATATTGTTGATTCTTACACTCGAGAATCTTCTACAACTTAAAAGAATAAGCGGGAGTTTCGCAATACATATTTAACAGTATACGTTATGTACATTTCTAAATATAAATTAATTTACACAAATATCAATATTAATATATATATAATAATAATAATAAATCCGTCACATACCTTATACTTGAGTTGCTGATTACCTAACTCATTTAACATTGTTTACCTTATACTTGAGTTGCTGGTTAATACTTAATTCATTTAACATAAATTACCTTATATTTGAGTTGCTGATTACTTAATACATTTAACATTGTTTACCCTATACTTGAGTTGCTGGCTACTTAACTCATTTAACATAGTTTACTTTATATTTCAGTTACTGGTTACCTAATGCATTTAACATAGCTACCTTATACACGAGTTAATGCTCCCCCCCCCCCGTGGGTCTGCAACGAGTCAGTGGGCAAATAACGCTAAAAATCGGTTTTCGATACCTGCTGCGGGCAGAGCACAAATAGCTCATTGTGTAGCTTTGTGCTGCACAACGAATAAACAAACTTGAATTAATTCAACTCACGAAGTTATAAAGGAAAATACAAAACAACTCTCTCGCTGTTCATTAAAATTGGGATAGCGAAGTTCCTACTGAAGTTGACGTTTTAAAACATTTATATATAAGTGTTGACCCTTCAGTTGTTAAACTGAATTACACCAACTACAGACAACGTAAACATTCATCTTCTTTATTGTATGTTAGACTACGAAAAAGGGTCAATGTTAGTTTAAACATTAGATAGACTCACCAATTTGCTAATGTGGAAAGTTGTAGGCTCGGAAACGCTTACTATTTAAATCTACATAAAGAAATGAGAAAATCTAGAAAAGCCAGAGCGTTTATTTAATAACTTTAAAATAATTCGCATTCTTTACATTCTTTACTTATATTCAAAATACTCGAAACTATAATCTTGACAACGTTCAGCTAATAGTCAATATGTCAAGAGAAAGGAGACTTTGTTGTTTGCATTATTGGCGACTGAATATTAACAGATTAAGCAACACAGTTTATATGTTGTCGAGGTAACACTTACAAGATAAATGCTCACCAACAATAGACATAAACGAAAGCAATGTGACAACAAGTGCTAAAATAATATGGCAAAGAGGAAATTCATGGCATTGGTAATGAAATAGTGTCCCAAACGCCCATGTGTTCATATTGTGCCAAGAAACACACGCGTGTTATATATATATATATATATAAGTATACATACTCGTGAACTTGGCTATAGGGAATGGCACGTGTCGCACGAATTCATTCTTCATGAAAACAATCATGCCTGAAAATTATATACAGACACTAGCTTTTGCATAGGTGGCGCCACCTAGAAAGAACGAGGTAACGTGCTAGAAACACACGGTAAAATATCATGCTTAGTTTACTCTCTAACATACGAGCGGACTGTGTGGATGTTGTTCCTCTTTCAGCTACTCGTATTGTGAGAACTATTGCCACAGTCGCTCCCTCTAGCCACCTGGCGGTGAATATGAAGACAATAATAGAGCAAGAACGTTTGTTGGTGATCTTGATTTTCCTTTTCATAAAAGTTGATGGAAAGGTAAGTCAACAGCTTTTATAAACTCTTATCTTTATAAAAGATATTTTGATATCAATACAATTAATTTCTAAGGCTCTGATGAATCTTTTAATTCAAACCACAATTATGTTTTTACATTGTTTTCGAAAACACTAACTTTTTTAAATGTAATAATCCTGCTATAGCAGGAATTAAAGGTTTATGTAAATATAAAACGTTTTTAGACGACATTCCAGTTATGAATCTTATTGTCTTACATGAACTACATAAACAAAAATTGTTAATTAACGTTGTATAAAACTCACTTTTTTCATTAGCTTCAAAACGCTTATCAATGTACTAAACGTGACAGAACCTTTATGAAATTCTGTAATACCCATTAACCATTTTATCTTTGTATGTGATTGGTTCTCAACAGGTACGTATAAACACAGCCTGAACTGAGCACATTTGAATCTCTGTAGCAGAATATTGCAATTTAAAACTAGCTGTCTATTAGCTTTGCAATTATAACGCTTTCAGGTGACAAGTGAAAACATACCCATACCGATGTTTCATATCGTTTCTCTGCTCTTCTATTGTTTTAGTTTTCTTAAAAATAACATAGATTATTAGCTTTCGTTTAAACTTGCTGAAGAAAAGTACTGAGTAGAAATAAAACCACACAAGATATGAGATATTCGTAGAATTACACAAGTAGATTCGCGAACTGCACTGTTTAAACAACTACTTTAGAATAAGAACAGCATAATATACACAAGTTTAAGAGCAATATTGAATATCCTTCTACTTGCACGACACCGCACCAGCTGGTTTCTAAGTGGTTTCACTTTTACCAAATCGAAACTTGATCTATTCACGGCTTGTGTTAAAGAAAGCTTTAGATCGTCAGCAAGAAGTTACAATTCAGCTTTCTTTAGCCGTAAATCGTTATTCCTGTATGACTATAACGTGTTTGGATAACATCGCCCTTCTTTTCATCTCTTGGTTATACATAGGTTCCTTTCTCTTCAACCAGAATTTTGCAATTAAATTTAGTAATGGTGACAAGTAAAAAGCTAAAAGTAAGGAGCGGTTATTAGTTTAAGTTTCTCGTGGTTTTGAACTAATTAAGTTTTTAAATATTCATGCTCTACATGTTCACATTAGAATAAAACAAAATTCTGCCCCCCCCCCCTTTGAAGTGAGAACATTTATTGTGAAATCCAAACGTTTCATACTAAGAAAAAACTCTCCAGAAAACCGCAACATTTCACAATTCTGACCAGTAATGTACCTAATGCCTGAATACTATTTGGAAAAACATAACACGTAAATTAACTGTATATAATGCCAAAAAAAAAAAAATCAAGTACCCTCTGACACTAAAGTTTTAGTTGTTTACGTCGTTTCGTCGTCAGACAATATAAAAATATATTCTGTTACTAGTTTTACTGAGCAAATAACACACTGTAAAACTTCGCTGTCTAAACACAAGCACAGCGTTTTTGAGGTACTACGAGGTGTGTTTAACAAGTGCATTCTTTCGTAGTTATTCCACCTACAAAAATACATAGCATATTGACGTTTTGTACTTTCCCTGAACAGTAACACCCTGTATTACTTTATCAACTAGGAACATTTAACAATATGTTCCTGTGTTGTGGGTTGCATTGAACAATCAGCACTCTTTGCGGCTGCCACACCTAGCAACTAACGCTGTGCATTGTCGCGATGTGGGTTTATTGTCTATGATAGCAACGTAAATGGTTCATTGCCATATTACATTTTTTTGCGAGAGCTATTTCTAATGTAATCTTTAGAGCACAACTGATGAACATTAAAAGTACTGATTAGATCTTCATGTGATGTTTCAGTTGCTCACAAAGAAAAGAAAACACTTTAATACAGAAAGTTTTTTACATTGGGTAATTTTCAAATTTATTTTTTATAATGAAATTACGTGTGTGGTTTTCTCATGAGAATGACATCCGCTATAGTAAAACTTTGACGCTTAAATTTATTTTTTTACCTAAACAATCTTACTTAATGGTATTGACAAGTTAATTCCTTTGGATTCTTTTTGTATGTGATTTTTTTTTCTGTATGTTAAATCACAAGACGCTTAAGAAAACGTCAGAGATATTCTAAGGCTGCATTGGCTTTAAGATGTATTCTGATTTTTACTTAGCATTGTCGTAAAGCTAATATGCATTTCTAAATAGTTAGATTTCAAAAGACCCCAAAACTATAGTGATTGCGAATGGTTAACTATTCTTCTTCAAGAATAAAAAAAGATTATTTTTTTTATTCCTGAAGAAGAATAGTCAACTATTTGAAATGGCTCGAGTTTTGGAGTCTTTTTAAATCTACTTGACCTTTTTGGTCATTTTTTGTGCTAACTCTCTCATCGTGGAATTTCTAAGTAAAATAGCAGAAAATGTAAAAAAGAAAAAAGGAAAAAAGTGCATAGATTTAGAATTATTAATGTACAGTACCAAGTACAAAGACCGTGTCTAGGGTTTAACGAAAAAGCGATTCAGTTCCTTGAACTGTGAAAAACATTAAATGACAAAATCTATAACCAGCTTCAAACTGTGCTCGGTGGTAAAAACTGGCCCCCAGAGGAGGTTTATAGCTTTCGCGGTCTTGACTTAATGTTCGTTTTGTGTTTGTACTCACCTCTCTGCTCTTTTTATTGCGAAAAAGAGTGTTTCAGACGATTTAGGCTCGATTTGGTCATTAAGGTTTCTTAAGCATGCGGTTACATGGGTTTGTTATCCACGCTAGATAACAACATTCATCTATGACCAGTTTGAGTGACCATATTTCATACTTCAACTTATGCAAGCACGGCTTAAAGAAACCCCGCGCACTAGGTCTACCTGTAAGGTTGGACAGCCTCAAGCGGTAAATGAGCGTAATGATGTGTATAAAAACAAAACCTATACCATGTACATTTTACATATTTGAATTTGCTAATATGATTTTATATTTAATAGATCAAACTAGAATAATTATCATCTCTCTTATTTAACAACAGACGGTCGTCTATTCGCTGTGAAAATAGGAGCTCTCGTGACCATTGCCTAGTATTTCATTCACAGCATAGCTGAGTTTAATCCCAGGTTCCGGCACACTGACAAGCTGACCTTATCACTTCTGTAATAAATAATTCATAATAGTCTCTTTGAAGTGGCCCCCACCCGAGTAGTAGCTGACTACAGTTGATGCCTGTCAAACCGCATACCTGCACCTTATTACACATCCTTTCTCCAGCCATTATTATCCTTTCACTATGCTAAATCTCCCTCCTGCGCCCTCTATCGGTCAGGTTCTAGATTCTTGCATAATAAACGATATAGGTTTAATATGAAATAAGTGTACGATATGCTTTATTAATATAGTCATATAAATAAACTTGTTTCTGCTGTGTGACCGGAGAAATATCGGTGTGTGTAGCTGTAAAAGGCATCAACGCTGTAGAAAGATTGTAGACAAATTAATTTTATATATGGCTTTCACTTATACATTTAATAATCTAGTTATCACTAAAGCAGTATTAAACCCGTTTATTCTATACTATTCTTCCTAAACACTTAGAATCCATATTATCGATATCTAGACGCGGGAATTATTACTTAGGATAAACACAAACCCGAGGGAGTCATAACGACATTGAAACACAGCTGATTTAAGAGAAAATATTAACAATATTAGTCCTAATTTTATTCGAGCGACATAGATATCTCCTACTAGATGAGAGCTTCTCTTTAGTTCCATCAGCACAACGATAAAATTAGCATCTTTCTTTAATGTTCTTTCTTCTCTTATAAGCAGCTGTCAGAACAGCTAGCAAACACCAGTTTGTTTTCTCTATTCCATATTGCCACTGTGAATCCAGCCAAGTCTTTTTTTTTACTTCATAAGTATAAATGTATTTTTGCGTGAAATGGTTACTATAAACAGTTTTATACATGTTTGGCTTCTAAAACTTATTATGCGTTGGGAAAATATTCCTTTTTGTACAGTTTTGTAAAATTAGCCATCAGTTGTCCTAGAATAAAAAATAATAATTCCGTGTATTATATCCAGTATAAACCAACCTATTGTTATTGTTCCGTGTATTATATCCAGTATAAACCAACCTATTGTTATTGTTCCGTGTATTATATCCAGTATAAACCAACCTATTGTTATTGTTCCGTGTATTATATCCAGTATAAACCAACCTATTGTTATTGTTCCGTGTATTATATCCAGTATAAACCAACAACCTATTGTTATTGTTCCGTGTATTATATCCAGTATAAACCAACCTATTGTTATTGTTCCGTGTATTATATCCAGTATAAACCAACCTATTGTTATTGTTCCGTGTATTATATCCAGTATAAACCAACCTATTGTTATTGTTCCGTGTATTATATCCAGTATAAACCAACCTATTGTTATTGTTCCGTGTATTGTATCCAGTATAAACCAACCTATTGTTATTGAAAACTCTGAAGTATCAGTTATTGATTGGCTTTTTTTCTTTTAGATTTTGATGTTGATAAATGACGGAAAGTGAAGAAACTTATTTTTTAACCTTAGTACAGTTATTGAGTTAACGTGGGAACAAATTGACACGTGCAGCCTTTCCGAAAAAGAGAATTTCTACTCAAGTCTTTTCAGCAACACAAGTATCCGGGTTGAAATGTGAAGCCAGAAAGACTAAAAAGAGTAAAAAAAAATATACATAGAAGCATTAAAAAAAGAAAACAGTCAAAATGAAACAAAGTTGGTCTTTTAGTCTACAGTTAGCCTGCACTTAATGGTAGAACTCTGCGTAGTCTATCCTTTCTTTGTTATTTGAAACATTTTAAGAGATATATTACCATTAGCTCTATTATGTATATATATAAATATTCCTAATTCAGCTGAGCAAACATATCCATTTTCTTGCGCACGCGGCCGACATTTCAGCTTTGGCTTCCTTGACTCACTCAGTCTTTTCACTATCAAATTTTACTTTCATGCGAGTAAGAATTGGTAGATGT